GCAGGGCTTTCATCCCAGCACTCATAAATCTGTGATTTTGGGGACAGCCTAGTCTACCTACTGAGTTCCAGGACAGCCAAAGCTATGTATAAAGTCCCTGTGTTACGTGAAAGAAGCCCGCCCGTCGAGGAAAGATAAACACGGAATGCTTCTGCTCACGTGATGGGTGTAAAGCAGGGGAGTTCACCTGGTGCTGTGAAACAGATCTGAAACCCCACACTCTGGGGGCTGAGGAAGGGAGGGTTGCATGACTTAGGGAAGTCAAGATCAACCTGGGCTATGCAGTAAGACCCTGGCTGTGAGTAAATCAATAATAAAATAAATAAGTCAAGTCTGCAGAGTGAATCAAAGAGCAGAATGGAAGGAGAGACCCTGTCTCAGAAAACAAACCAAGGAGCCAGGCATGGTCAAACACGCCTTTACTCCTAACACCCGGGAGGCAGGGCCAGGTGGCGCTCTCTGAGTCAAAGCCAGCCTGGTGTACAGAGTGAGCTTCAGGACTCCAGGACTAGAAAAAACAGAATTTTTTTTTTTTTTTTAAAAAGGGGGGTGGAGGGGACAAGGGCTGGAGAGACGGCTCAGTGGTTAAGTGCACTCGCTGCTCTCACACAAACACACACCCAGGTTCCATTCCCAACACCGTATTAGGAAACTCACAATCCCCCATAAATGTAGTTACAATACACAGCACCCTATTCTGCCCTCTGTGGGCACCTATACAAACACGATACACTTGTATACATTCAGGCGCGCACACACACACACACACACACACACACACACACACACACAATAATAAAGAAATCAATTTTTGAAACTGGAGCAAGCCAAGCAGGAGTGGCGTAAGCCTTTAATCCCAGCACTCGGAAGTCATTGGCGGGTGGATCCCTGTGAGTTCAAGGGCAGCCTGGTCTACAGAGCGAGTTCTAGGACAGCCAGGACTACACAGAGAAACACTCTCTGGAAAGGGGAAGGGGATGTCATTCTGTGTGCTGTGAATATATGCGTCTCTCTTATTGGTTGATTAATGAAACATTGATTGGCCGGTAGCCAAGCAGAAGTATAGGCAAGGCTACCTGACTAGGAATGCTGGGAAGAGGACACAGAGAGGTTTCAAAGGAGTCACCAGGGAGACACCATGTAGCTGCCAAGGGAGAAAGAGGAATGGGCATCACCCGTGCGCCTGAGACCACGTGGAAACACATAGATTGATGTGGGTTAACAATTAAAGAGAGCTAGCCAATAAGAAGCCTGAGCCATTGGCCAAGCGGTTTATAATTAATATAAGCCTCTGTGTGTGTATTTGGGACTGGAGAGCCATGGGAACAGGTGGAAAAGAAACTATCTGAGAGAGAGAGAGAGAGAGAGAGAGAGAGAGAGAGAGAGAGAGAGAGAGAGAGAGAGAGAGAGAGAAGAAAGGGAGGGAGGAAGGAGAGAAAGCTTCAGTCCCTGGTCACTTGACCTTGTTGCCTGGAGCTCTCACGGCTGAGGATGGATGTACTTCTTACCTCATGGCGGTTGGGAAGAAAAAGAGAGAGGAAAGTCCTGGAGTGCCAGTGTCCCCTTCCCCCTCTCAGGAACCTCCTAGCAGCTCAAGTTCCTTCCACTGGGGCCCCATTTCCCAAGCGTCTGATAATGCAGTAACCCCATAGACTAGTGAACAACATTTCAATACGTGGGCCTCCGGGGGACATTCCGTGTGCACACGGTAGCCCCATATTGGGTTGGGCAATCTGCAAAGCTTGCGTGTAAAGGAGGCCAGCTACCCAGGACCCTAGGAGCAGAGCCCTTCCTAGACCCATAGAGACCCCAAACACCGCGTTCTAACATTCAGAGAAAGACCGTTTCTTCAGCCCACAGTGTCCCAACTGTGTTAGTGTGATGGACCAAATCCAGTGTTCTTTTGTGTGTATTTTTTTTCCCATTCATGTATTTATGGGACTAGAGAGATGGCTCAGCGGTTAAAAGCACTGGCTGCTCTTCCAGACGGGGGTTCAGTTCCAGCACCCACATGGCAGCTCACACCTGTCTGTAATTCCAGTTCCAGGGGACCTGAGACAGAGTAATACTGTGTAGCCCTGGCTGTCCTGGAACTTACTGTGTAGACCAGGCTGGCTTCAAACTCACAAAGATCCACCTTCTTTTGTGAGTGCTGGGGTCAAATGCATGCCCACTATTTCCAACCCTCTGTGTGTAGTTTAAAGGACTTTTAGTTCTTTCCTTTCCAGGACCACAGGGGACCTCAGTGGTATGAGAAATACGCTGGAAGAGCACTTTACTCTAATGCTTCCTTCTAGGGGAGAGGGAGAATGGGTCAGGATGGAAGGAGCCCCTCTTGTCCTATAGGACTGTGAAGGGTAAAAAGATCCGAAGGGGAAAATAATAAGAAAAGAAAATTGATTCCTTTGTGGGGAGGGGCATATATGTTAAAACTCACTTTCTTTGAATGGAAAGTTACCAAGTCCTTGAAAGTATGTGTTTGTTTCCAAATTTTAAAATAGTGGCAAAAAAAAAAAAAGTAGTAAATAAATAAAAAGAGGGAGCCAGTGAGGAGAGGCTCAGCAGATGACTCAAGGAGCCTCCTACCCAGCCCGATGGCCTGAACTCAGTCCTCTGAACTCTCTACACACGCACCATGGCACACATGTATGTGCACACACATATACACACAGTAAGTGATGTCCACAGATTTAATGAGGTAAATAAAAATAAATAAATAAAAAGCAATGGCATTATAAAGTTGTGGCTGTGAAGACAGACCGTTTGCTTGTTGTAGCTGAATCCAGAGTATGTTTGTTGCTCATTTGTGTTTCCTAGGAGACAGAGGAAGAATGACATCTGACTCTCCTGAAGGGGTCTGTTCCCCTTCCTTTCCCTGTGCTCTCTAGCAGGATGCAAACCCTGAGAAGGCAGGGACTTTGTCTTCCTAACCGCCATACCGTTAGTGTCATGCCTGCCAAGCTGCACCCTCACTGACAGTGTGAGTGAATACACAGAGCCTGCTCTGTGACTAGATTCCACAAATCCTTCCAGGTTCCTCTGCCCATCTTTGGCCTTGGCTTTGGCCTTGAGGGCCAGGCTAAGCTAGCTGCTTCAAGGGCAGTCACCAACTTGCTGTGGAACAATAGCCAATTCAAGAGTAGCCTTGGGAAGATGCCCCATGTGTAGGCCTGCCCCAGAACTTTCTAGTGTTTTCATTTGATTAACTGCATCCCCGACAGAAATGTTTCACTTCCAACCCCATTGAGTTTTGACCCGGGGGCATAACAGAGCAGAGTCCAAATGTTAGCAAGATATATCTTTCTTATGGTTCTCCATTCAGGATCAACATTCCGCCTTTTGGGTTTTGCCTCTAGCTTCTAATGGTGCTTGTTTTTCCAGGGGTGTGGTGCTGTCCACAAGGTGGATCAGGAATTCAGATTCATCCCTGTGTACCTTGTGATCACCCTGTGCTACAAGAGACCTCTTTTGGGGGGATAGGAGACTGTTCCTTTTATGTAGTCTGACATAGCACAGGCATTCGGTTATGACTGAGACCTTTCTTTCGGCTTACAGTTTTGACTTGTGCACTGTAGTACCTCAAAGAGGCCTGAACTCTGAACTTGGGGCTCCCCTGTGGGGATAAGCTGTCCCCTTTACTTTGTGGCCTCAGGAAAAGAACAGCAAGTAGGACTTGGTAGTACACACCATTAGCCCCAGCACTCAGAGGCGGGTGGATCTCTGTGAGTATAAGGGCAGCCTGGTCTACATAGTGAGTTCCAAGACAGCCTCCAAAGCTACAGAGAAACCCTGTGTCAAACAACAAAAACTGGAAAAAAGTAAATGTCTCTGCCTAAATAGGTCTTGGAGCTGCAAGTCAGGGGGACACTACGACTTGACAGAGGTTGCAAATGTGTGTCCCCAAGCAGCCTGGCATGACTGGAGACATATGATGTAGAAGTACTGTTTTACTGGTGAGGATGCTGAGATATTTGGACAAAACCTAGGAAGAATGTGAATCACGGACTTGGGTCTGGCCTGGCATTTTGAATCTAGTGCAGGAAATTACTAAAAAGCCCTGGCCAATGTCCCGTTGTTTTATTAGTTTTCTCCTGACCTTGTGATTGAGAAAAGGGAGTGTGAATCTTTAGGTTGAAGCCAACAGTGAGATTTTTTTGAATCCCATACTGTCTCTTCCAAGCAGAATTCCCAGCTGAGCCAAGCCTCAGGGGGTCTCGGTTCCCTCTAGACTTCTCTGTGGGAGGTTTCTGCACTCAGGTGCAGGGGGGCAGTTTGCCACTTGGCAGAGCTCCAGGAGGGGCAGCTGTATGGGCTGCAGGATGCAGGGGGAGCTCAGTGGATACTCAGACCCGGGCCCCTGCAGAGGCCCTCAGAGGCGGTTACTGGGACCAAAAGTATAGCTTACTTACAACAAACAGGCAAGGCTCTGCACCAAACCAAAGTTAATAAGAAAGAGGACTGCAAAGAAGGAGTGAGCTGTATTGGTGCTGGTGCGCCCTAGGCAACAGGCTGAACCCTAACACTCCTTAGCAAATTCACATGTCAGAGAATTCCAGAGGCTGAACTCCGGGAAAATGCTAGGTTAGGGACTTGCTAGGGTGATTAGGAGATTCCTCCCCGCTGAGCTAGAGTTGCTTCTCTTGCATTTGAATACGAATTAGAAAAACAAGCAGATCAGGATCGCAGACCCCATAAAGCGGAAACTACTCCGGGAAACACGCAGGACACTTATCTGGACCATGAACCGAACGCTATTTGTCTCTGTGTACAGAGCACACTCCTGTGATGGAAAACTCCTGTTCTCCCAAGAAACAAGAGCGATAAAGCCTGTGCTTTTCCAAGTTTCCCATGGACACGGGTGGGTGTGGGCACGCGGTGTGTGCTGTTTTTTCCCCCAAAACCGTGACAGCATAACTTTCTCCTTGCTTTTTTTTATTTTACCCGACTGTGTCTCAACTTTGAGGCCATCGTGTGTAAACTTCTGTGTCTACTCTTTTCAGTTCTAGGGAAAATCCGAACGGCGGTGGGCAGCGCCCAACTTCTCATGGCGCAGAAATTCTACCAGTTCAGAGAACTGTGTGAGGAGAACCTGGTAGGTACCATCCACATCACCCTGACTCCTTGCTAGCACAGCGTGGAGAGACCCTGTTCTCCATACTGGCCCAGCCAAAGCAAAACTCAGTTTGAACCAAGTTAAGTCAAGACTCATTTGGAGTCTTTTAACAGATGGATCTGGCTTCCCAATTTTCATTAAACAAACAAACACAAACCCCCACTCTATTTTACACTTAAATAATCTTAGGGGCGGAATTAAATGAAAACTCCATTTCCTGATTTCTTTGTACTGAAAATTTTCCATGTTCCTAGATTTTGTATGATGCTTTTGATTTTCTTACTCTTGTTAAAATATGGAGGAGCAACTGATGTTTCCTAAATACTATCACAGAGATAACTATTTTGGCTCATGACTCTCTTTATAAAATAGCCATCAGTGACTGTGTCTCTGATCAAGAGTTTTGTTTTAATTCAAAGGCCAGAGGTTGAGCGAATCGCAAAATGTAGATTAGACACCCTGGGGCAAGAGAGTGTTCCGTCTACCTCTCATCCAAATACAAAGGGAGGAAACCAGTCTTTGATAACAGCAGCAATAACAGCAGTAGCATTTGCAAATTTGACAGTGAAGTAAAGGTCGAGAGCCTCTCCGGGAGGCTGAGAGAAGAGGCCTCCATCCTCCAAGGGTGACTCTTCAAACACAACTGTTGCTGGTCAGGCTCACTCCAAAACAAAGCAAAGGAAAAGCAACTTAGTGATGTGTGGAAAGTGAAAACATGATCGACATCTAGATGACCCAGATAGGGTTTTAGAGTTTAACTCTGTGTCCTAGGTACTGCGTTTTCTCTTCAAAGGAATCTAAGCCAGGGCTGGCAAGATGGCTCCTGTGTAAAACCTTGCAGACAAGAACTCACACGATGGCTCCCAAAACTGTTCTTACACACACACACCACACACAAACACACATACACCACACACACACACACACACACACACACACGCACATGCACACACATACATACACAAACCACACACACACACACCACATACACACACCACACACACACATACACACACCACACACCACACCACACATATACACATACATACATACACACACCACACCACATACACACACACCACACATACACACATACATACATACACACACCACACACATACACACACACACCATACACACCACACTGTAGCATGTGCACCAACCCCACCCTCACCCACCCACACTCACCGAATAAATGTAAAAACAATTGTTGAGCAAGTTCGCAAGTGTATTGCAAAAGAAAACATAAATATTGTGCCAGTTTTATTTTTCTCTTTTGGATTTTTCAAGACAGGGTTTCTCTGTGTAGCTCTGTAGACCAGGCTGGCCTTGAACTCACAGAGACCTATCTGCCTCTACCTCCCGAGTGCTGGGATCAAAGGTGTGTGCCACCACTGCCCAGTTTATACTGTGAAAATTTTAAAGATGAAATTACAGGTATCTTTTTTTTCTTAATGTGTACTGATTTCTGGAAATTGTCAAGTTCATGAAAGCCAGCTCTTGACATCTCTCCATTCCTCACAGTGGCTCCTATGGCCACTAGAGGATGTCATTGGAACTGCCCAAGCCAGGCCTCGGAAGAACAAGTGTAGCACCAAAAGTACCAGATGCCCTGGGTAACTCTCAGAATGGTCATTTAGAGTTACTTGTGACGTTAATTATTTTTATGCTTTATAGATGGGCATAAAAAGTAAAAAACAAAGCAAAACAACTTAGATACCAGACCCTGGTAAAAAGTAGAGCCAAGAATCAAATCCTCATCTCTTCAGGCTCCATTCCCATAAATCCCAGGCAGGCAGGATTTGAATTCTGTCCCTCACCTTTGCAGAGGGAAGCCATCCCAGGAAATACTTAGCGCTACAGTTGTGTGAAAGTAACCCTGAGGGGCAGTAAGATGGCTCGGCAGGTAAAGGAGCTTGCTGCCAAGTCTCACGACCCGAGTTTGATCCCTAGTACCCATAAGATGGAAAGAGAGAGCCAGCTCCTACAAGTCCTCATCTGACCTCCACCTACTTGTCCTGGCACTACCCCCAACACATAACACACGATAAATAAATGCCTGTGTGACCGTAGGTCTGGTCCAAGCCAGTCTTTCTTTAGTTCCTCTTCCTTTGAGAGGGGGAAAAAAGAAGTTTGAAAACATTTATCCCAGAGTAGGTTCTCAAGGTTAGAGTGAGGGAATGAAATTGGTTTTTTTCCCAGCATTACTGAACCAGGGGGGACCCCCACCCCCAATTCTCCCTCTAATCTCAGGGATGATCTGGTTTAGATTCAACCACACTACCATATGACTCACGATGCCATACCACGACAGCTGGGTTAGAGAATGGCTTACACCCTTTGTTTCCTCCCTTGTCTTTTTGACGACACAGGGCAAAGAGATTCCTTTGGGGCAAGACCAGGTTGCCCAGATACAGAGTTAAAAGCACATGTAAGGAACTACTATATAGGTTGACCTTGCCCAAACCTAAAAAAATCCAAATCAGAAATCCTCTGAAACCTAAAACTTTGGGGACACTAAGTCATTGGTACAAGGCAGATATATATCTGACCTCATATAACTTGTCACAGTCAAAATACAGGCGCACTAAAGATGTACATAATACCTCCAGACTGTGTGTACCAGTCTGTATGTGACATATACGTGAACTTCACATCTAGATGTATATTCTATCTCCCGGATATCTTGCTATGGGCAGGCAAACATTCCCAAATCCTATGAATGCCAACATCTCCACATCTGGTCCCAAGGGTTTCAGAGAAGAGACACTCACTCTGTACCATTTCTTTCTTCCTTTGGTGCTAAAATGATACAACAATAAAACTCATTACCCAGAAAACGTTACTCAACTCCAAAATATGAACTGTTTATTTTCCCGTTGCGGATGAGGCTAAATATACTGTGAAATCATAAACTATTGAGAAGTTCTCTCTCAAGTCTACTGTCCATTCTGAATGTTGAGGGTTTGTTTGTTTTTGTTTTATCCCTTTTGGTTTGCAATGTATGTAGCCTCAGACTTGAGATGTTCCTGTTTCAGCTTACTTGGTGATAGGTTAATTGGTATTTGCCACCACACCCCTTGAAGGGCTTTTGTTCTAGTTGCTGTTTACTATGTCAGAATATACAAGGAACCCCTTTTGTTCGTTCAAGTATCATTATAACCCTTTTTATGTCTTTCTGTATTTGTTTTATTTTGGTTTGTTTTGAGCGGAAGGCCTTGATCGTGAACCACCCTCCCTCCCATCCCTAGGATAGCTTTTAATACTGAACCAAGCTCTTGAAAATGCTAACATTTATTTATTCCAAAGAATCACATAACTGTGAGTAGTTTCAGAACTCTACACACATCAGTGCATCTTGATTTGCATTTGCAGTCGTCCTCAGATGCAAATGTTGTTTCCAACCTTGAAAACAATTAGATGGTCAACAACCTTTACACTTCCTGAAACTGCGATGATACCATTTTTTCTTGGGAGTCAATTTTAAATGTCCAGGCTGACCTCAGTTATCACAGGATGAAAGGGTTTATGATACTAAGAAATAACAGGAAATGACACCGGCCAGAATCCCCTGCCAGGTGGAGGGGAGGGGGCCTCTTGCTGTCTGATGGAGATGCCTTCAGCTGCTTTTGCAGGTGGTATTTGGCAATGACAGGGGCAAAGAACAGGAACTCCCGAGCCAGATGTGATAATCTGCTCTTACAGGTTTTCCCAGTCAGGAGGCTGAGGTAGGAGGTGGGAGATTTCCAGGCTAGCATAAATTACACAGCAAGCCCCAAAGCAAACAAACTAACAAAAGTCAATTCTCAGCTGGCCTCAGTGGGTCAAGGTACTGGCTTCTCAAACCCGATGACTGGAGTTAAATTCCTGACATCCACACAAAGGTAGGAGAAGAGAACAAACTCCTTAAAGTTGTCCTTTGACCTCCACACACATGTTATAGTATACACACACACACACACACACACACACACACACACAGGTGTGCCCACGAAAAATAATGATTTTTGTTTGTTTGTTTGTTTGTTTTTTGGGAGGGGTGGAGATTTTTTTCTACACAAGGTCTCACTATGTAGCTCTGGCTGTCCTGGAATTCACTATGTAGACCAAACAAGCCTCCAATACACAGACATCCCTCCACCGGCCTCCATCCCCCAAGTCGTGGGATTAAAAGCATGCACCACTATGCCCTGTTTATATTAATAAAAATTTTAAGTAATTCTTTAAAAATTATTTTCTGTTGGGTTTTGTTGTTGTTGTCCATTTGGTTTTTCGAAACAGGGTTTCACTGTGTAGCTTTGAATATCCTAGAAGTCACTCTGTATACCAGGCTGGCCTTGAACTCAAAGATCCACCTGCCTCTGTCTCCTGAGTGCTAGAATTTAAGGCATGTGCCACCATTGGCTGGGAAAATGTCAGTTCTTAAACACTGAAGGATATTTGCTATTCTAAAAAGGGAATTACTACCAACACACATATGTATGTGCAGAGATAATGTTTTCTGACATTTGCTATATTTAAAACTAGCTGATTTCCAAAGAGTCATATGATAAAATGGTTCTTTTTTATTTGTAACAGTAACATCTCAATTACTGAACACATAGTTGTTTTAGGAGCTGGGTATGTGTCTCCATGGTTGATCATTTGCTTCAAGTATACAACTCTGGGCTCAGTCTCTCGCATCAAAAAAGCCTTGCAAACAAAGTACTTTGAAAATAGTTTATTGCACATTAACTCCATAACCTAGTATTTCAGTCAACAAGAATCCTAGAACTAATCACATTCTAGAATAATCATCTATTCTCTGAACAAACTCTGTGGCATGGAATTCTATGTGATTTTTTTTCAAGTTAGTGTTTTATTTTAAATATATTGTTTTAAAATGTATCCAGTAAGTGGTAAGGCATTCTGGGATTTTTTTTTTTTTTCAAATGTTTATACTCTTCCCACTTATCAAACTGAAACAACCACTCTGTTGTAAGGGCAGAGGGATTTTACAACCTTGACATTTGAAAGCCAGGGACTGGAATGGGGCATGTATACAATTACTATTTGTAGCCTCATTTTTATCTCTTACCTAAAAACCAAAAAGGAACCCAGCCTCCCAAAGTTCTTTGAAATGTTTGAAAATGCCTTTCTGACCCTGTTTGCTGCCTCTAAAGCGTCAATATTTTTCTCTCTTTTGTACAGAATCCCAATGCTCATCCAAGACCCACGTCCCAGGATTTGGCGGGGTTTTGGGACATGCTGCAGTTGTCCATAGAAAACATTAGTATGAAATTTGATGAACTCCATCAGTTAAAGGCCAATAATTGGAAACAGATGGATCCTCTTGACAAGAAGGTAGAACAATGTAGATTTTGTATGGTTCATTTAAAACCCTGCACAAACCCTGGACAGTCTAAATAGGGGCTTCTGCATTCAGTCCTGCTGTTTACAATGTGAAATGGAGCTGGTACCATACTCATTTCTTTGTAATGACATTGTTTACATACCAATCACTTGGGATATTATCTGTAATATGTGTCAGGCATACTTTCGAAGAAGAAAAAAAACTCTGTCTTTGTGAATTGGAAAGTGGGAATGTGGCTTTTCTTTCTTTTTCCTTTTTTCTTTCCTTCTCCCTTTTTTTTCTCTTTCTTTTCTTTCTTTCTTTTTTTTTCTCCTTCTCTGGTATAACTTTAAGCTAACCCACTTTCGGCACTGGAAGGAAGTTTTGCTTTCTAACCTAAAATAAATGATCTCTTCAGTGCATGGTTCCATAGAGCAAGAGTTCAACTTCCTTACGCCCTCGAGATGTGTTTCCCAGAACTCGTAGGAAGCCCCGGGAAGTAACTGGCTGACCGGTGCCACAGGCTAAAATGCCCACTACGAAACTGACAGTCATCTTAAATGTTGGGATTTTCTTTTTTTCTTCTGACTTTGACTGATTTGCGATTTGCTTGGGAGGACATTGTTCCCTGGGGTCTTCATGCAACAGTTTAGAAATAAAGAATTAAATTATTTTAATTAATCAATAACAATTTCATATTTGATTGCTATGGTTCCATCAGGCTTCTACAAGGATGTAATGTCTGCCTTTCCAGGCTGACCTGCCCTATGTGAGGTTTTTAAAATAACTTTTGTTCTTCTATGACCTGAAGTCAAATAGTTCCAACAGACACCTCTGAAAAAAAAAAAAAAAAAAACGAGAGAGATGGCTCTTCCCTCAGGGCAGTGTGAGTCCTGCCCTTTTAGGTCTCCTGACCCATCAAGAGCTAACAGTAATTCACTGTCACCCATCCTTAGCAGGTGTATCGGGTTAGTAGGTACCCAGGACAAACCCAATCCTGAAGGACTATTTATAAGGGCAATGCTATCACCATCTCCAATTCTATGGCCATCCAACTGGGGGGTGGTGGACGGGGTTTAGAACCAAGTTTGAAGTACTATTGATGTGTGTGTGTGTGTGTGTGGCCTCAACATTGAGAAGCCAAACATTGTACTTCATCTAGTTTTCTTCATGTGTGAAACTATCTGCTGGAAAATTGGTCTTAAAAGTATACACACACGTGTAAACACGCTGGAATTTTAGTACTGCTCCATCCAATATCTACTGATTCTTTAGTACTATTGTCTAAAAAAAAAAATAAAAATAAAGTGTGCAAAGAAAGAAAAATGGCTAAAAAGTTTCCAATATTCATACTTTTAAAAATAGCCACCAGTTATCCCACAGTGAAGATTTTAAACGTCCTGAGGAAAGTGATTCAAAGAAACTGTTACACGTGATTTACTGGTATGTGACCTAAATTATTAGCCTAATTTTTAAGTTTTTAAAAGTGCATTTTGCATTCGATCAGAGCTTCTCATCATCTCATGAACTGGCAGGAAAAGATAATGAAGGGACAGAGGTGGCGGCAGACTCTGCGTTCTCTGTTTTTTAGTCCTTCAGAAACAGAGGTTCCACTTTAAACAACCAGGGCACATCCACGTGTAATAAATAATAAGGAACTCTGCTTTTCTCCGTACAGAGGGAGCATCAGGGTTAAGTCGGGTACTCGGTACCTTCAGGATAAACTTCATGTGTGAGTTCCTAAGGATGTAGGGTATTTTACTTAAGTGGAAATGTGGGGTCTGTGTGGACTCTTGCACAGCCCGAAGGCACAACACCTTTCTCCTCAAGCACCCTTTCCTATCCCCATGAACGGTTATCAAGAAGGCATCAGTGCTTGGATTTTGCAGTAGATTAGAAAAGGTCTAATACCATTTCAGAGTCTGCTGATAAGATGGCCTTTTCCAGTGTCCTGTGTTCAACTTTGATAACAAGTTGGGATTGTCTTCTAGGCTACCACAAGCATGCTTGAAGCCCCTAGGGGCTGATTGATGTCCCGGAAAATCCTCCCCAGAAGTAGGAAACGCCAAAGTCTCCCCACCCAGTGACCCTTACATCTATGGCTGTGTGTTCCTGTGTGATGTGCAAAAAAAAAAAAAAAAAAAAAAAAAAAAAAAAAAGGGGGGGGGGTTAACTTCCAGTGTCACCATCGAAGCAGATAAATATAATCTTACAACCTCATCTGGCTAAGGAATGGGTGCAAGGGGACTCTGGGTAGGCGTAGGGAGAGGGTACGGAGAGTTTTGTTCTCTAACCCGGCTCCTACCTGATGCTGATGCCTCCTTAGACAGAGACATCTTAAGAGTTCTAAATCATTCTGTAGCTGTTGAGATCTCCTGGCCCATCCCTAGCACCAGGAAGAGTCTGGAGTAAGCAGAGAGAGCCACCCTCACTCTTGAAGGGGTGCATTTTAAATGCCTACACCTTGCCATGAAAAGACCTAGTCTTCGACACAGCTTTACCCTCGGCTTTAGGCATTAGGAGATTATGTGTTGTTGCGGGTGGGTTTTTTTGTTTGTTTTTTTTTTTTTTCTTTTTTCCTGCATCTTTTGAATACCCAAGCCAGAACAATGAGAAGAAATCATATATAGTGTGCAGATCAGAACTAACCATCCTTAGGTTAAAAAAGAAAAACAGAAGTGTGGGTGTGTGTGTTTTCGAACTACTGACCTATCCCAGTCTTTGCCAAGCTTGTCCTGAGAAGCTGTGTAATGTCCTGAACCTTCTGCTTTGATCAGGAGCGAAGGGCCCCTCCTCCAGTGCCAAAGAAGCCGGCGAAGGGCCCCGCGCCGCTGATCCGGGAGCGCTCGCTGGAGAGCTCGCAGCGCCAGGAGGCCCGCAAGCGCCTGATGGCCGCCAAGCGCGCAGCGTCGGTCCGCCAGAACTCGGCCACCGAGAGCGCGGAGAGCATCGAGATCTACATCCCCGAGGCGCAGACCCGGCTCTGAGCGCCGCAGAGGACCACCCCGCTGCCCTGCCCGCGGCCGCCTCCCAGTCCCCTCCGTCTCTGAGCTCAGTGACCGCCACCTCGCAGGAGCGGTTCCCCAAGCCGCCCCGCTTCCTGGGCCACTTTGCCCATCTTCTCCACTGAGCTTCGCGCCCCTGTCCTGAAGCCTCATGCAGACATCCAAACCCTTTCTTTTCTGGGACAAGCAAACCCACCCGTGTAGAAAAGATACCTGTAGGTCACTCACTCTCCTCAGTTCTTTCAAGCTAGTGTGTCCCTAGAACTCAGCAATATAAAAAACCATAGGGTATTTCAGAACTCCAGTGTCACACAGGGTGATCCTTAGAGACTTAACCGTCTTCCACGCGAAAGAAACGAGGGCTCCGATTTCCCTTTATTTGCCCCCAAACGGTTATTTTTACAAGCAGACAAGAGCGCTTTATCTCTAATCTCAGAAATCACACCATCTCATCGGAATCAGTGGTGACCAAGAGAGAGGGGACCAAGCTGGCCTGGGGTTGGGGGCCTGGGTGCGGTGTAGGAGGGAAGGGCAAAGCGCGCGGGTACCCCGCATCTGTACCTGTGCCGCTGTACGGACTGCCACACTGGTACTTCAACAATCACAGCTTCAAATGTCTCAATCAGCAGAAGATTGTAAACCCGATCTTTCAGGGAAATTAATCTATTCTGAAAGGCAATAAAAATGAAGAAAAGTTAAGGCAAAGGAACCTCCGATGGTTTAAGATCCTATGTAAGGAATATATTTATTTATCTTATTATTAAGAGAATTTAGACCTGAAATGTTTTTATCAACTTTTCTTGTACTCTGTATTATAATGTCATGGCAGTGGTTTTTAAATGGGGGAAGAAAAAGTTGGCTCTGTTAGTTTAGTGCCCATTCTGGTGGGCCTGCTGAAAGATTTCACACACACACACACACACACACACACACACACACACACACACACACACGAACACTTCTGCTTCTGAAAGGCAGCAAAACCATTTCCAGAGTTGTGGATCTCTGCCACCCCTTTGCACGCTCCCACACCTGTCCAGTTTAGCCCAGCACTCCACATTCCCGGGGTCTCCCCTCCATCCAATACAGGGTTCGCGTGTTCCCCAGAGCAGGGTTTTTGTCCTGTATCAAATGAGTAAATTCAAAGGTTTTCTACCCTAGTTGACGTGCTGCCTCATTCCCAAGAGCTGTCTGTGGTTATGATCCTGAAGCTCCAGGCAGTGAGTGAGAGAAGGTCATTTCGTTCGCAGGGGTCAAGAGCTATGAGAAACTAGAAAAGTCGGCATTTAGAAACAAACGCTGAGGGAAGCCCAAGCTTCGGGTTGGATTCCAGGCTTCCTGTTGGCTTGCAGTGTAGTTGATGGGCCCTGTGCACTGGCGTCCTGCTGAAGTCTTCAAAATGCCCTTACTTGTAGCAGTGTAAACATTCAGAATGTGGCAATCTGAAAGGGTCAGCCATATATTATCAAGCTTGCAACCTAAAAGAATTAGAAATTTGCCATTGAAAAATGGAAGTCTTAAAAGAAAAAAAAAAAAAAAAGCTTGCACCAGAGATGCTTTAAAAAAAAAAAAAATACTCTCATAGCCAGGTGCTAATTTAATTTTCTTTACAAAATTAAGAGAAGCGATGGGTTCCGGCAACCAATATTTTCAGACATACTCTAAAACCACTAGAGAATTCGCTACCTCTCAGAGCAGGTGATGCTTTGAGTTACCTTTAATAACAGGGCACAAATGTTTACTGCTGTGGTTTACAAGAAAAGGGCTACTAACTTATTAAAAAAAATAAACAAAAACAACTTTTAACTAGGGCGGACATAGACAGTGTTTGAGTCTCAACTGGAGCAGAGACTTTTGAGCTTCAAGTATTTGCTAGTTTCAAAAATGTACACACTCTTTCTTTACAGTGGAGCAGCATCAGGTGAGTGAGGTATGCAGGTGTAAATCCAAATGTCACCTTGGGTAGCTCCCCCGTGGTCACATTCATCCAAGAAAAACTTGGAATTCACAGGAAGCAGCTTCCTCTAGATCCACTTCCACTTTCCAGTTCCGGTGCCCTGAGGCAGAGCTCAGCTTCTAATGAGGTTCCAGATTCTGCTACAATGTTGTCTTTGGAAACTGATTTAGCCCAGGCTGTTTTAAAGAGGACAAGAGAAGGCCTATTTATCTTGTCTGAGTGAATGGCATTTGTATATTCATAAGCTATTTTTTGGTAAGAATTTTAAATCTTTTAGCTGAACACCTGTAAGGGCATCACAACCTTTGCCTTCCTGAAAAACACAGTTTAAACTGTGCAAGCACTTTATATTAAAAAAAAAAAAAAAGGGAAAAAAAGCTAATTATTGATGCTAGGACATGACCCCCACACAACACAGCTGGTCATCCACTGGAACCTGGAAACTGACATCCGTGAGCATAACGTTTGTTGCATTATTCTTTTTGATGTAATTTGTAGAGGTGTTTTTTAGTTCATAATGAACAGTATATGTACCCTGAAAATTTACTTATTTTGTTTAACTTTGGTATAAAGGTGTTGGGCATTTTCTTGGGGTGGGGTGGGGGGAATTACAAAAAAAATTTGTCTCCCTCATCAACAACAACAACAACAAAAATTCAAAGAAATTAAGTATTTATTATATTTTTTGCAGATGTTTCCATACAATTCACATAACCTTTTTGTAAAGAGAGATGAAGAAATGGATTAAAGATTTTTAATATTTGAAATGGTAAATAGAGCTAATTTATTTGTAATATATTTCTGTTATTTATAGATGTCCCTTCAATGTTTTCCTGTACGGTACTGCTTTAATTTAAACCTCTTCCTTGTGAATTTACCTTTTCTTTTCTTTTCTTTTTTTTTTTAAGAACATGTCTAGATGCATATTTTAAATAACTGGAATGTAAATCATTAGCATATCTGAATTCCCTAATGTAATTTTTAAAAATTATTTTGGTTTGGGGAAAAAGAAAAAAAAAAAGGTTCACTTGAAACCCTTCAGATGGAGTGGTGGGACAGATTTGTACGGCTTTCTGAATTGGAATTTCATAGGCTTCTTTACCTAGATTGTGTGTGGCCAAAAATAAATAAATAAAAATAATACAACCTGTAAATACATGGATGTTTCCCATAATGTAAAAAGAAGGAATTAATAAAATAATCAATGCACTAGTTTCAGGCCTGTGTGTTTTTACTGAAGCCCCAAGTCTTCCAAAATCTAAGAGGTTGTCTTTGGAAGCGGGTAGCTCAGCAACCAAGAGGTATGTCATGTTTCTCACCTTGGTTGTAATGACACGCCATGCTACTTACCTACTGCCACACAGGATTTCAGAAGTAAGGAACTGGCCCTTTATTCTGATAATCACACAGGCTTGGCATTTTGATTCATTATGCTGACAGGTTTAGATCGTGAGTGATGCCATAAGCCCCTCACATATATCTTTTAAACATTTTGACTTCTTTGCATACACGTTCCCCCTATTGGGTTTCCCCGCACAGTCTTCAATGGTAAAATCAGAGTTGTATTCTGTGGTTTTTATTCTATCCACACAGAGGATGTGTTTAACATGCGTGAGGCACTGGACCTAATCCCCAGTACGGTGAAGAAAGGGACGGGAAAAAAAAAAAAAAAAAAACCAGAGGAAAAAATTCTGCTCAAGATTTAATTACTTGCCACTGCAAGACAATTACTAAAGGATGGATCTGAGTCTGAAATGCAGGCCTGTGCTTAGTTCCCTCAACACCGCCTCTACTTTCCATAGTTCACATTGGTGATTACCTGCCATTGCCATTTTCATCTGGGTTTTACGCTTACAGAGTGGACTTGTACTCATCACTTGGCTGGAAAAGTCTGATAGCTGTGTTCATAGCGCCTCCTTCCCAGTTTCCTCCAACTTCTTGGCAAAATTCATCCATCTGTATACAACAGTCTTGGAGATGAGTATACAGATAGGCAGGCGTCTTATCTGATTTTGGGGCATAAGCAAGGTCTGTGCCAGTCACCAAATAATGGAATATGCTGTTGAAACTGAGATGCAAAACGATCAGCTGAG